ATGGGCTGTCCTCGTGGTAGTTTGAGCAGTGCTCCCCTTTTTTCATAGGGTTACCTGGAATGAGCAACGTTAGCGCCTATTTATACTATAGTCGCACCGGTAGAGACGTCATGGCTGTCGCCGGCCAACGAGTTGGTGTTTTTTCAATGTATGCTTCAGACACGGGTCACGACGAGGCGTTCCCCCATAGCGACCCCTAGAGGACGCAGTGTCTCGTTCCCTACTCAGGGAACCATGGTTACATAAGTAACCTGAGACATTTTCCTTTGTTGTTTTTCAGAAAGAATGAAGAATATCCATCATCCAGCAGTTTTAATTTTGACTGCCATCCCTTTAAAATGCATCAAAACAACACGGAAAAACTATTAAAGTGATGAAAAGATGAAAGTTATTCCCAGTACACTCATCACCATTTAAATCATAATGTTTGAAAAAATAGATTTAAAATCAGGTGTAAGGCCGCTTGTTACAATCACCAGCTGGAGTGCCCATGAACTCCTCTAGAGGGCACTCCATCCCGTACCTTTGCCATTCACCCCGAACTCCATTTCCAAGGTTCCCTCTGCCTAGGAACTCATTATCTGTTGACACCTGTTCCATATCAGGAGGACTATAAAGGTTGCACTCACACACATTGCTGAGTATAGGGGTTATGCGCAACAGACTTCCGTATTCTGTTACCTGGGTTTCGTTGCTTCGTTTTGCATATGCTTTGTTAAATATGAACCAGTTTTACTCAAGATGCCTTCAAAGTAGATACCAAAAATTATCATAACCAATGTCCATCACATAAGCGGACTGATATCTAAAAGATTTTATTTTTTATTTTTATTCTTTTCACTAACATTTAGATATAAAAATTTAATAAAATGTCAACAATAAAAACAGCATACTAGTTTAACTGATTATCTTAAAAGTCCATAGATATTGCTATTATTTATTATGGCTGTTAACAATCTCTCCGACAAGCGGAAGTGATGAGACCTATTTTCCGGGTGTGGTCAGGTGACTTTCGACATAATGTCTTTGTGTTTTCTGCCTTGCCTTGCCTTCACGTGTTTGTTCCTTGGACTGTTTACCTGTTTTTTTGTGACTGTTCGCTGACTACCCTGACCATCGCCTGTTTGCGGATTGTCCTTTTGCCTCTGTTTTGTAATTTTTGTAATGTA